CATGTATAATGCTCAGTCTATAAATAGGAGTCATAATTGTTATTCATATATCACGTGACAAGAGACGGCACGCTACAGAAGATACCTCGCTAAAACTGAACCGCCCAACTATCCCCAAACCTCTCTATCAGTGCCTTCAAAATGAGAATAGCCGATAGGTAAACATGTCAGCCAAGGAGCTGCCAAGTAACAAGGCCGGATTTCCTATCTTTAAAGAAAATGAAGTCACTCTTGTGTGTAAACGTCCAACATACATTCCCATGTTTTCAACCTATAATTAAAAAAAGAAAAGAAAAACACATCCGCATTTCTAGTACCCCAGAAACACGGGAAATCACTATGGTTAGCACATAATCGGGCCTTGAACATTTGAGGCGTCACAGGACATGAGGGAGCAAAAAATGGGAATATTTCCTTGAATCGCCTTCCACTCCCCGGAGCGTGGTACCTCGTGAGCGTGATGGAACCGCTACTGGGGAGTGAATAATAAGGAAAAAAAACATTGGCCATGGAGACCTGTTTCTTTTGATAGATATGACCTTTCGTTTCATTATTTTCTTTGTTCGAAATAGAAACGAACAGAGCCAGCAACGGAAGCAGTAACAACGTGTCCCTAACTGCCGCCCAGGACAGACAATTCTAAATATTTCGCAATTCACTTCCTGACACTTTCCTACCATTCACCAACGACTGAGTATCAAGAAAAATAATCTGAAAAAAGAAAAGAATATATCACACAAAATCGCGGAAGAATCTAAGAATCAAAATGTCTCGTAGATAAGCTTATCACCTAGTCCATATGCTGTAGACATGGCCAGACGACAACAAAATGCAAATGAGAACCTAAAAATAGATCACAGTACGCCAAAGAGCAGGTCCATTGTGAGCGTCCAGTGTCGTCTCCTCCTGCACCCCGTTCGGCTGACATTTGTCTTTTCTTGCTAATATGGAATGACAATGAGCCAGATTAACATCAGCTCCATATCTATGGGGGGCCTTCGCAAACTCGATCGCATGCTGCTCTGACGCAAGACACTCTATCTTAGATCATATCACATATTCCTGACATATCGATACGGCAACTGGACCGCCTTTCGATTTCTCAAACTCACTATTAGACCAAGACCTACAGACACGGATGGATAGCCAAATAAACTCACATTTAAACCAACGTTTTTAGATATAAGTCAGTCTTCACGAATCAGCATCTTGCAAAAATTCCTCATTAATCCAAATGAATTGACGTGGGTTTTTGGATCACAAGAAACCTAATTCCCGGAAAATATTAGTTCCGGGGGAAGGGGACAGGGGGGTGGTGGTGATGATGGAAGGTGAAGAGGATGAGAAGGAGGAGGAGAAAGAGAAGGAGAAGAAGGAGGAGGAGGGAGAGGAGGAGGAGGAGGAGGGGAGAAGAAGAAGGAGGAGAAGAAGAAGAAGGAGCTGCAGCAAGAAAACGAAGAAATGGAAGAAGAAAAAAAAGGGGGGGATGTTGAGGCAAAAGTATACCTTTAAATAACATCATGAGAAGAAGGCGAAAAAAATGTAAAGAAAAGGTGAACGGAGGACGAAAAGTAGGAATTGTGAAACAAACAAAAAACAAACAAACACGACAACGCTTTGTGCTTGTGGCCGCGCAGGATTTTCCACATAACGTTTGTTTTTTTCCCCATCAACACGGTGCTACTATTTGGAAAAGATCAAGAGCTAACTATTAAAGGCTATTAGTGTCATCTTGCATCTGTTCTAAACGTTACATCTTTAAGAGGAAATACCAATTAGTGACGTCATTTTGGCCATCCTCTGACTTCCGGCTTTTGCTCTTTTTTATGGTGTGTTTCTGAGAACCTGCAATCCGACATTCGGTCAGTATGCAGATGGCCTCCACGGACACAGAACAGAAGAACGCTTAAAGTTAGCGTCGTTAATATGCTTTCCGGCATTATTCTGGCTTTTGAACTAATAAGCATATCTTAGAAACTACGGATCACAATATGACCATGATTGAATTCTTTACAGTATCTTGGCTTTATAATTAACTAAAAAAGGATATTCAATACCTATAGAAACCACGAGCCCATTTCACTCCAGCAAAGATATCCTGCCCATACCCATCACAAGATGAAAAATATTAACATCGTTTCGATAAGGCTAGAATCACCTAAGTAAAAGAACGTAGAATCGACTACTTTGTGAGACAGAAAAGAAAACCTAAACACACACTTTTAAAAGATGACTAACATGAAAATATAATAATAATTATAATTAAACTAAAACAACACAGCCGTTTCCTCTGTTGCATGTAATGGTGCCACGTACCTTGCCGTCGACCATTGTGAGCTTCACGTGCAGCGACCCTTGCCTGAGGATGGCGGACTGGAGGGAAGCAGGGGAGGGCAGGTCCCCCACACACAAGGGCCCTCCTGGGGTCACGGGGGTGCCCACTCTCGACACCACGCCCCCGTCTGCCACCACGCCCTCGAGTCCCTCGCTCCGAGAACCACTGGAACAAAGAAGAACAAAACGTGATCACTCAAATGTACATATCTGCTGCTATGACGTAATTACGAGTAACACACCGAGACACATAACCCGTCCTGCACTTCCTCCGCACCGTACATTTTTTTTTGTCACGCTGCAACAAATGCAACACCCTACAACAACTGGTTCCTCGCCGCACCTGCTCCCACCCTCCCGTGACAACCGCAGAGCGCGAGAGGTCACTGACTCTCAGGTATCGTGCATAACGAGCAACTGTATGAACGCCCCCTCGTCGTCGCCCGTGATTCATGGTGCTTTTAATGTCTGCTTTCGAACGTTAATCTCCCGACACAACGAGGAAATGCAGTGCCATTCTAACTGGAAAACGCCGCAGTGAAAATCCCGAAATGGATCATCAGTGTGCGCGAGTTGAAATGGAGTGAACTGATGCATTCAGCCTGAACGTATGACAGACTCTCCGTGCCAGTGCGGTTGAAGGAGAAATCAATTCGGCTGTGTGGCATTTCCGAATATCAGAGGGCGGAAAATGAGCACAATGTTCGTACTAACAGTCTATGAACCTGCTTTTTATATTTGAAACAATATATAGGTTGCATACTTAACTATGATAACAGAGAATGCTCATTTGCATGTTACAATTGTACTCTACATAATCATCATTCTAATTAAATGAAAAAGAAACCTAGAAAATCGTACTAACTAAACAGACACGCCTGCGTATAAACACTTGAAATTCCCAAATACATAACTAAGAAATATGAGTTCACTGTAGTAAATATTTCCAACAATTTACTTTGCGCAATCCTACTCGACAAAAAAAAAAAAAAAACTCTACGGGATAATCACGCCATGTTTACTTTATGTGGAAAGCTATTCTGGTTTAAACATGAAACTACATATCGAATTATATCAAAAGAAACAAAAATAGCCACACTTTTAAACGTGTCAATTTCAGTCCTACATAGATAGAATGCAACATTACGAAAAAAGCTTGTAAACAGGCTACATTCCTCATAAAATAATCGCATTTTTCACAATATCCTTATCATATATAACCAACTTTTAAGAAATGACAATGCATATTTTCATGATAAAATCAGTATTGATAGATGTTACAGCACTGATAGATATTAGACTAAAACAGTAAGTGGAAAGTGATGGAAAGGGGGAATAGATGGGGAAGGAAGAATGGAAAGAAGAAAAGACAAAGGAACAATACGTTTCGGGGGAAAGAAAGGAAATTGCAGACAGAATATGTGTAAATTTAATAGGAAAAGGGAGAAGAGAAAATTAAGAATGACGTAAAAAGGTAGATAGAGAAAAGACAAGGAAAAAAAGAAAGAAAGAAAGAAAAAAAAACACCGAAAAAGACAAGAAATGAAGGAGAAAGAAAAGGAAGAAAAAAACAGAAAAAAAAAATAAGAGTCTCTCTCGCCTTCTCTTTCCCTCTTTCCTCGCTTAGTGATGGATCAATAAACGCTTTCTTTATTACATTGCACCTCAAAAAGGGAAAGAAACAACAGCAACGACCAACAGTGTCATCGGCCGCCCTTTAAACTATTAACGCCACTAAATAGAAAAACGACGAGCTAATATATCACTCCACAAATGGCTGTCGAATTCGTTAATGGGGTTAGGTAATGAGAGCTAAAAGAAAATAAATGAATATGGACCCTATGAGCCGGGATGGCATGTTATAATGAATCCATTGTGATTTCAGTTTTGCTCCAAGAATACTTATTCACTAACCAAGGATTCGAAGGTCCTACCTATTTCACCTTTTTTTTCTCTTTTCTTTAATTTTCGGAAAGATTTATTCGTATTCTTATTTCTATTAGTATTTCAAGAAAATAATAGTGATAATTCCAATAGCACAAGACAGAGAGAGAGAGAAAAAAAACTTGCCCTGTTTTCCCCTTTCCCGAATAAGTGCTACTAATTGGTTCCTTGGTGGCTGAGCACCTGTGAAGCTACCTGCGTGACACAAAATTTACGTAGACAGTTTATATACACCCGCATACAAAGAGTACGTAGAGAAACATGGAGATAAGATATCGCTCTTTCGCAAATGCATGTGCCGAATTCACTAACGGAATAAGGAAATAAATATAAAGTAATAAAATTACATTTATCCATAGGCCTAAACACACAAAAAAAGGAAAATTCCGTTTACTGAATGACTCTAAAAATACACAATATCAGTAACATTTCAAAAGGTAATGACTGCAATCTTTTTCTGCTATGAACGATTCGTTTCGTTTTCTCTCGTCCTTTCTCGTTCACTTCCGTTTTCTTTCACTACCTTTAGCGCCTGTTTTTCTTTGAGGAAATACAGTATATAAAATAACGAAGATTTTATATAATTGCTCGTCTTCGTCTTGTATCGTTGACTTACTTATGAAGTCAATGGAAAGAACGAAGGAGGGGAGGAATGGAGGTAGAATTGGATGGAATTGATGAAGTAAAGGGGAGGGGAAGGGAAGGGAGAAGGGAAGGGAAGG